TATCTTCAAATACAGACTTAAGACTAGGCTAAATGAGGCCTTTTAAGTATGCATAAGTAATTTTGTAATGAAGAATTGGAAGACGAATTCACTACTCCAGCTATGTGAAATAGCCTCATGTCTTACAGTCTCCCTAATGTTCACAAGGAGGCTGTCCCTCTATGATTAATTGTAAATAATAAAGGAAGCGTGATGCATAAAATCTCACGTTTTTTATGCATATAACAAAGTTACTCTGCCCATTTTTGGTTATATTCAGTTGAAAATTAGTATGATTTTGTAAAATTGATTGAGCAGTAGACACTTTTTGAAGAGGATAGGCTAGTAAGTTTTAGATGTTGTGTCTATGTATAAAAATATTCCTGTTCAAAGAGCTATTCAAGCTCTGATACAAACTCTGGAGGAGCATCCATTGCTAACACAAGGAATAAGGCTGAGTGTAGCTTGCATTATTAGACTTATTAACCTATTCATGAGTGTCACATATTTTACATTCGAACAAACACAAGGACTATCGATGGGATCTTGCTTGGCTCCTATCTTGGTGAACAATTATATGACAAGACTGGAGGAACACTTCCTGGAAGAAACAATAATAACCCACAAATTATTGGTTATATATATGGATGACTATTTTGTGATCTGGCCTCATGATAAGGAAAGTTTGAATAATTTTCTACTTTCACTCAACTAGCGTATAAGGAACATTGGGTTCGCATTGGAAATGGAAGATAATAAAATTTTACCTTTTCTGGATGTTCTCATCATTAGAGAAAGAGTAAGTTAGGAAGAGATGTTTATATGAAGTATCTTTTTTATGCTCTTGGCGCAATTTTATTTCCAACCATTATTACAAGACTAAGGCTGGAATTTGGAAGTCAATCATTATTAGAAATATGAGGCTAGCGAATAGCAAACATTTGACTAAAGAGTTGAAACGGCTGACAAAAGGATTCCTGGAAAATAGTTATCCTTTGGGCCTTATTGAGAATAATATCTTTCTACTCATGAATAAATTTTCAGACGAAGACCATTTAATCAAAGATAGACGGGCTGAGACATTTTTCCATATCCTAATTTTGCCGTCATGCTCTCTTTCAAAATAGCTAAGCCAATTAGTAAGCAAATGGGGGATAAAAACAGTTTTCAAAGAAACCTTTACACTTTCTCCTGTTATGCCATCTTTTAGAGAGAAATATGACCTATCATCGAGATCCGGTTGCTATAAGATTGTTTGCTCATGTGATCGATGTTATGTTGTTGAGGCATGCCGACCTATTCGACAAAGATTGAGGGAACAAAAATGCTTGTAAAGTAAACTGGGTTCAACGGTCAGAAGTAGCTGAAGACATGGTAGAATCTGCACATGAAAAAGAATGGTCTCAAACTAGTAGGTTTGCTGATTATTTATGGTACGTCTGTGTTTGAAAGAAAGATAAGAGAGACTATTGAAATTAATAGCTTAGGAAATAAGATGAATGTGATGAACCGTGGTACAAGGTTGAGTAGGAACTACTTATGCTTGATTGCTAAATTGAAAGTAGAGAGGTTGGAAAGATAAGAGAGACTATTTAAATTAATAGCTTAGGAAATAAGTTGAATCTGATGAACGCTGGTACAAGGTTGAGTAGGAATTACTTATGCTTGATTGCTAAATTGAAAGTAGAGAGGTGTTGAACCGCTATCCAAGGAAGGCCACCTAATTGATCTACTCAGTGATGGTTTTAACTTCGCTCACACTCGTCCAACATGTTAGATTAAGCTCATCAACCAAATCAGACGTGCCAGATTACGCAGCCCTAGTCGTTACTTTCCTTGTATGGTTAAACGTTAATGCCCTTAGACTGAGAGGTTAGGATAAGTGGCTTCGTAACTTGACTTACATCTCATCATCTCAACCATAGTCTCGGTCAGGGCTTTCTTTTGGATCATTAAGCATTGGTCGTCAGAGCCTGACATTGGCCTTTTGATCACTCTGATTTAGGACTGGTATTGCGTGTAGACGCTAATGCACACACACTTACACTCGAGCAAAAGTAGCAGGACCATTATGAAAGATAAGTAGCCAAGCGACTCTATATCTATCTAGGGTTTTAATTTTCTTTTGCTTAATTGAGTCTTTAATATAGATAAGATAGAGCAGGATAATCTTCTTGCCCAAGTGTGAAACGTGAGACTTTTACAGGAATGAGACCCAGCACTGATGATGCCCATCATATGATGAACAAAAACCCAGCCCATTTTCACCGGAAACGAGGGAGGAGGTATCGTAGACTGTCAACCTGAACGTGGTATTAAAGCCAAACGGCTACAGTAAAACGGGATTATGTCGTCCTCTTCTGGTGAGATCGACCTACGAATCTTTTCTTCATGCACTTTTATACGAAATGAAAGTTTCAACATTTTTTATCTTTGTTAGATAAGCTTTGATTAGCTTCTGATCTTTTGAAAAGTCTTATCACAAAAAAACGTGCAGTTTTTATGGAGTGTTGTTATTTTTCTGCCTTCTTTTGTGGTATTCTTGTGGCATACTGCGAACCTTTGATCTTTACCTCCGCTATGAATTGGAATGCATATCCGGTGATGTGTACGAATTTTATATATAATTGGTTTCAAGACTGCAAATTCTTAGCCCAGGAGCTGCTCAACCATGAATTTACCACCTGTCGCACTTATTTGCTTTAGCATAAATCTATGCCCAACCTAACTTTTTTAGCAGAATTTTTCGACATATCTTTTTTCTTTATGTTTTTCTCTATACGTATATACGTATATTCAATTGTTATAGTTATTCATAGCTTTTTTTAATTTCAGATCTCGATAAGGAGCTCGTTCGTGTATCCCTTCTTGCTTACGTTGTGAATCTATGTTCTCGGACTCGCATGGAACTACATTCTCAGCACTATGGCGAACTTCTATCTCTCCGACAGACGCATGCTGATCTTGAGAAAGGGCGTGGTCAACTGGGAAATTTATTGGGGGAGTTGCAGGCTGAGCTAGATCATGTAGGGTCATTGTCAGTCAATATATCTGAGAAGGCCAGTCAGTTAGCCGAGCAGTTGGCTCAAATCGAAGTGAAAACTGATCAACCTATCGATATTGATGAAGTGGTTGATACAACCGCACCTTTATACAGACAGTATGTGCACCTCTTTCTTTATTTATATCTCGCAATCACTGGATTTTTAGCTAATGAGATTTTCTTTCAGAATCAACTTTTTATTAATTTATCTTTGCTTAAGTTGAACTCTTAGGTTGACCATTTATTGAACGAGGAAATTTGACGAAATATGGAACCTCTAAAAAGTGTAATTGCTATTTTTTATGTTGCGCTTCTTTGTTCCTTGACTAAGTATCAGCTACTTCTTATTTTCACTGCTTTTTTATTTATATTATTATGGATAAAGCTGTTTTTCGAAAAGTCTCTTAATACATCAATGTTGGCGTATATTTCATTTCGAAGGATGATTTCATTACAGTTGTGCGAAAAATTCCCACTACCCCGATGAATCCTTGCTGAGCTTTCGTCTGCAATGTAACACATTATCAGAACAATACATTATGTTTTACGATAGATCACCGTGCAAGAAGACTAGATAAGTGAATTATCTTAAAGCTCGATGTTCTGCTCTGACAATGCTTATCACATGACAGACGAAATATCTGCATCGATTCTTCGGCGCTGTACTGTTCACTGAGGACTTATTCGGACAAATCTAAATTCATAACTCCAAGGCAGTTCTGCTTCCTTCTCACCTCTTATAAACGAAATGAAAGGTAGGCCAAGATTAATTCATATTATTGACTGCATAGATAAAGAGGAATTTTTCTACTATCGCCTTCCAGTTTACACTACGAACCTTTTAAAGAATATAAATTTTATTGTAGCAGAAGAAAGGATAACGCTCCTTAGTTTATCTAGCCTTTATTAATTTATTATTATCATATTAATATCTAAGCTTAGCTCCAGTTGTTTGTTTGGATTGTAATGACAAATTTAGATGATTCTGATCACAATTTACAGTTGTATTCTAAAAGTAAATTGCCAGGTGAAGTGTGATTTTTTAACCTTTATTTCTCGAAAGCTACTGACTATGAAATAGATTTATGCTAATGGGTTCTCGATATGTACGTTTTTTACTTACTGAATTTGGCCGGAATACCCTTTCTCTATCTTAAACGTGTGTTATTTAGGTCTTTCATATTTATCTTTATGCTCTACCTAATATAGTCTTTTTTACTTTATTGGTTCTGATTCTTCTGATTTTGAAAGAATTCGTTAGTAATTTAGGGTTACCTGGAATTTTATTTTTAAAGGAAGGATTCGTCAAATAGCTTCATTTGAAACCGCTTGAACCAATAGGAGGAGGAAATAGGAAGATTAAGGAATATTTTAGTCCATAATAATTATTCACTAAGACTAATAGACAATTGCTTTTCAATACAATAAGGAATAGCTATTTAGGTCAGGACAAACAGACAGACTATTCTATTTGGTCCCTGAGGTTGCCTCCCGTATTTTTTCAAAAAGACAGGTTAACTTTTGAGAAGTGAAACCCGCAGCAGTGGGGTGACATTGCAAGGATTTCGAACCTCATTTTTGGATGTTATAAGATATTGTGCTCATTAAAGAAGACCTGTTGACTTACAAAAAACTGCACGCAAAGGTTATGCATTCAAAAATCATAGCCGACCTAGTTCATGGTCAATACAGGGCACGTAATAGACTGATCCATATCACAAATGTTTGCAGGCTACTCGGATCGCACATCTAAGCACAAGATTAGGTATGTAGCAAAACTGGGTTTAGAAGAATCCTTTAATAGACTTATGTTTGAGTACCTTTCATTTCGTTTGAAGAGGCGGGTGGGAGAGATTATTAAATTGGTCTCATTGGAAGCTGTAAGGGGAGTCTTGGAGCTGTGATTGTAAATTTATGCGAATAGGTCCCCGGACAATTGCTATGCAACCCCGATGAATCCTTACTGGGCTTGCGCCTGTCATGTGAAGGACATCGTCAGAGCAGGATACAAGGCTTTACGATAATTCACCAAACACAGAGACAAGAAAGGTGGCCGGATTC